GGTGGACACTAGAGAGAATGCAGCTTTAACACATGAAGCATCGGTTTTGATTTTCAGAAATGGAGGTTGGCGCCTGGGCTGTACTTTGGCACAGCTGTGCTTTGTGCTAAATGCTAACATATGCCTGCTAACATGCTCGGAATGTTTCGCATATTTAATGTTTACGATGTTTACCTTCTTAGTTTAGCGTGTTAGCATGCTAACATTTGTTAATTATTACGAAGCTGATGTGAATGTAGATATTTCTGCAAATATTCTGTCATGGAGAAATTAACATTTTCACCCAATGACGGCGCTAGGTATAACAGTTGTGGGCAACATGAATATTTATACCAAAATGATCTGACTAACCATCCAAGTCTTTTACTCAAAACCCCACAAATGACTTCTTGCTGACATCGTCACATCTTTCGATCCATATGTCGCTCGTGCGGCACATGGATCGAAAACTGATCAAACACACATCAATAAGAAGGCATTTAAGACCATTAATCACATCTACATGACACTGAGGATCACAAAGAGGTCACAACCTTCATTTATGAAGACAATAGAAAGTGCTAATCGTAGCGTTTCAAGAGCTTTGGTCCATAATGTGCAGGATGCAGGTAGATTAAACCCTCACTACCATCTCAAAGCAGCAGAGCAGCTTTTCATGTTCTATCTGTAGCCTGCAGGGCTGTGCTTTACAATCATGCATCCAACAAATCACCATGATCAAATCTCTCACAACGTAAATCTCTTGCAAAATAGGTGCACACAGGCTTGTGTTTCTCAAAACACCAAATGGATGACGAGTGTTTGGTGCACACAGTAGAATTATGTTGTGGTGATGCAGCACAGAATATTTGCTGTAGAAACTATTCAAGAAAATGCAAATTCCCACAATTATCTTTTCTTCATTCTCTATCTTCTTCGATTATCTATAAGTAATATAAATGATTGATGCATATTGCTTTAAAAGCAACTTAACAGCAGCTAAACTTCTTGTTCTTACTGACATCCAGTGGCTCAACTCCTCATGTGGCTGCAGTGATGTATAAGTGTCCTCTGGGGTGTGTCAGTACACAGTGACATCACTGCTGGGTGTGGTCTGTTACAACAGAGTTCAACTTTAAAGCAGAGAGGGCAGTAAAACACTTAGTTATTAGTTATTGTTAAGGGTTGAATAAAGTCTGTCATTAGCTGATGTACTAGTGTAAAATGCACTTAAAACAGAGGTGTAATAATAGCCGTGTTTTGGTGTAATATTTTGAGCTTGATGTTCACTAAATAAAGCCATGATCATAGAACAGATCATCTGCATCATCTGGTGAAGCCACAAGCTCAGTTCCTGATACAATAATTGTCTCGTGCATGTTCCTGCTCATCACGGGAAGCCACAAAAATGTCAAACTGACACATTTGAGGGGAAAAAACAGCAACACAAGCTGACTTCATTTGATTTTCACCGGCCTCCGCTCTGTCAGTTAAAACGTTGCAGGCAGTTTCTGGAAGCTTTCCAAACGACCGGCAGAACTTGAAGGATCAGAGAGGGACATTTTGGAAATTTGTTTATGTCGACTGCTTTTTAAAATCATGAAATAAAAAGGTAATTAAAAAATCTGAATACCATATCTCAGTCTTATCTGCTCAGAGTAGGTTTACACGTTTAAATAAATCACTTCTCAAGAGCATTAAACATTAAAAATGTATGAAATTCATGTAAAAAGTAGGGAAGCCAGACAAAACCGGTGCATTATTATGATCAGCCATCATGTAACCCACTTGTGAGCTATTGTTTGTGACAATGTTTGCAGTCACTCAGCGTTGCTTTAAGTCCAAAATGTTTCCAGCTGTGCTCCTGTCCTCAGACTTCAGTGTCTCGCTCTCCTTAGTGATGCACTTTTTGGAAATAGTGGCCCTTTTTTTTTTGTCTGAGCTGCTGTTTTTACTTTTCATGCCACTTATACTCTGTGTGTCTATTTCTGTGTGTGTGTGTGTGTGTGTGTGTGTGTGTGTGTGTGTGTGTGCATGTGTTTTGGGTTTCAGGATCGGGTGGACGATGAACATGTCTGGCGGCCCCCCAGGGGAGGAGCTCACGGATGAGGAGAAGGAGATCATCAACAGTGTACTGGCTCGTGCGGCCATGATGGAGGCCACGGAGCACGAGAGGATTGAGTGAGATGGAAAACTGTTGTCTCTGTTTCCACATAATCACATCAGTCAACTGAACACAGATGCTCACTGAGTTGGATGATTTTTGTGTGTAAAACTTGTGCCAAGTTTGTGTTTTTACATTTGTTTGCATGTTGTTCTCAGGCGTCTCTCCAGTCGCCTGCATAAGATCAAGAAGACGGCGTGTGGTGACGGGCAGTCCCACTGTCTGCTGTGTGGGGCGTCATTTGGACCACAGGGGGTCACAGCTGTCCTCTGTGTGCAGTGCAATAAAGTAGGTGGATATCTGTATTCTCTCTGCTTCAACGAGGAAAGAAAAGTCCCCAGAGCATGTGAGGACGTCTCAGGATTTTCTGCATCCTGTATTTCCCGTAGTGAATATCCAGAGAGGTTTCCTATGGCGATAAGCGCCCACTGGGCCGGATGCTAACTCTCTCTGACATTCACTCTGCATCTCCTGGTCTCATGCCTCACATTCTGCTTCTTGTTGCTCTCAATGACTATGGAGAGATGAATGCAATCTGAACTGTAAAATATACTTTATGTATGTGTTCTTTGCACCTGCTATCGAGATCTAAATCTTGCAGAAAGATTTATCTGTGTGTGTGTGTGTGTGTGTGTGTGTGTGTCTTATGCAGTGGTGGAATGTAACTAAGTACATTTAATCAAGTACAAATTTGAGGTACTTGTATTTGAGTATTTTCCTTTAATGCCACAATACAGAAGGACACTTCTGACACCTTTAGTAAGTAGTTACTTTACAAATTAAGATTTTCACCATTTTCTAATTGATAGTTGTACATACATGCAAACATGCATGCCGATTTCTTTATCTTTTATCTTGGCGTTTAAATCAAGAGAGGAACAATTCCAAATATAGAAACAAGAGTCCAAACTGAAGCAGCTGTTGATCACTCTCGGCCCCTCTATCCGGCCGGTTAGAGAGGAGTGAGGCGTCAGCAGTCAATAACGATATAAAACGGTCAATAAAATAGTGAATCACCACAACAGGCCGACGAGCATACAGTCACACATCAGCACAACTATCATGCTGATGGATTGTTTGTGAGATTAGCTGTGGACAGACGGACAGACAAAGGGATGCACACACACACACACACACACACACACACACACTCTACCGAACACACAATCTCCCGGCTTTGATAACCAGTACATCTGAAACAATTACCAAACTAATTGGTAACTATTTTGAACGTTTGAGTCATTTTTCATGCAAAAACATTTCATGGTTCCAGATTTGCTGCTTTTACTTCTAATAATGTTGATAATTGTAATAATTAGTTTTAATGTTGAGGTTTGGACTGTTGGTTGGACAAAACAAACATGGTGAATGTGTCACTTTGGGCTCTTTAATGATTGTCTGAATACTTCCTCCTCTGGTCTCTAATGTATGTGTTTGCCTCTTTGCAGCACATGTGCAGCAAATGTGGGATTTATAGCAACAGCAGGACGAGTCCTATGTGGCTGTGCAGAATCTGCAATGAGCAGCAAGAGGTGAGAGGATGAGGAAAGATGAAGAACAGAGTGGGTTTGATAAAATCAAGGGTTCAATTTATGCCATTATGTCGTTCATCCGCCGGCAGAACAGGGGTTTTCCTCGTGATATGAGCCACTGTCTGGCTTTTAGACTCGTCTTTTTAGCACAGAATTGCATTTCACTGTCCAGTGACCCGGAAAATTACCTTCCATTGACACCTTCTCAAAATCCCCAAAATGATTTATTTTCAACGCTTTTTTAATTCTTAAAAAATATACAGTTTTTCATATTTTGATGAATATGAAACATGAAGAATAAGGTCTGCTTTCTGTTTTCCTCCCTGATGCAGTTATACAATGCTGTTTTGATGATGGCGCTGCAGTTTTGTTGAGGTCTCTGCCTCGGGGAGCCCAGACTCTTTAAATAAATGCTCTCTCCTGTCAGTCATACACAGAATAAAGTAATGCTGCGACATACAAAGTGGTCAAGTCCGTCTCACAGAATTAAGGAGTGAAGAAATAAACAGAGAAATCAAACACATTATTCAGTCTATATTTTTTTGTGAATTTATAGATGTTCACAAATTATTACACAAATGAACACGGACCACTTTAATTACTCCATTTACAAGGTAGATAGAAAGACTTCTTCTCAAGCTGCAGTTCCGTTATCGGCCACTAGAAGCTAACACGTTGGAAGTAGATATGGTCAAAGACAACAGCTCATTTAATTTGTTTTCATGTGACAAATGCTTTGTTTCTTCCATTATACGTTAAATACATCTTCAATAACAGATTGTTTTTGGGCGACTTGGGGCCAGCAGAAAACAGTGACACATCATCACCGTGTAAGTCTTTTTGGTGTCCACCACCTCCTGAGGGAAATATCTGTCTCTTTAGCTGATAAATGATCCACTATGTTCACCAGCTAGTCTATACATTTGTCAATCTGCTACGAGAGCAGTGAGAGAGAACCAGAGACGTCTTTCACACCCTCATTTGATACATCGTTAGCATAAAAATGTTGATTTTAGCCGTTTTAAAGCTGCACTAATCAATATTTCTGTGTTAAAAATGAATCAAATGACCATATGTAATGTGAAAGAGGGTCTTGTAGTAACGAACAAAGATTTCTTGCAGGTCTTTTCAGCTCTACTGAGCATTTTAGCCTCTTTCAGCTCGTTGTTTTGGTTTAACAGCCCACAACTTTTAGTTCTCATTGCTCTCATCCGTGTCGTTTCCAGCTGGTTCCAAACAAACAGCGGACCGACAAAGTCAGCAACAAGCTGGTGAACATAGTGGAGCATTTAGCAGCTAAAGAGACAAATATCTTGAAACGGATATTGGACTTACATTCCTCAGGTGGCCAGAAACATGACTCCATATTAAAGCTGAAATTATTATGTGTCTGCTGGATGTGTAATATTGTTGACAAGTTAGCCGAATATCAACTGGGGATGTGACTGCACAACATCGCCGCGTCTTTGCTTTCTTTATTGTCCTCTTGAGGTCAGGCATTCATGTGTTCACTGTGTGTTCCTGCAGGTACAGAAGCGTTCAGGAGCTTGGTTCTTCAAGGGAAGAGTCCAGCAGAGTCTGCCTGCCCCCCTCCATCTGTCCGGATCTCGACAGTCCAGCATCGAGAACAGTTCTGGTCCGGGAGGCCACGATGGACCACAGGAACCCCCAACACATCATCAGGGATACGGTACTTTACTTGAATGCCGGACTTTTACCTGTAACAGGGTATTTCCACACTGTAGTATTTCTACTTTAACTACAGTAAAATAATCTGAGTACTTCTTCCCTCACTGCTGTGGCTGTAGCACCAACAGTGTTGTGGTGTTAGTGATATTCTTATTTCGTCCCCTCAGAGACGCAGCAGCAGCCGTCCTGTGGATCAGAACAATGGGAGCAGACAGCGAGAGCAACAGCTGACAGCCATAATGAGAGTGCGTCCTGTCCAGCGGTGGTAATGAAGACCGAGAGACACATGTCAGCCTCCAAACCACCTCGAGCAAACGCACAGCAGGTCGTCCCCGCCTCAGGTAAAGTAACGCCGCCCCGTCTATGAATAAACCCAACGTTCAAAAGATTTACCATCAATAACGACGTGTTCAAAGATGTTTCAGACAGAATTAATTTGCTCCTGCTGCAGTTGTGGAAAACAAATGCCCGGAGAGGGAAGAGACAGTGTCCCCTCCAGCTGTGGAGGCAAAAAGACAACCTGTTGTCTCCAGCTCCATTTCATCACATGTTCCTGCAACCAGAATGAATCCACCGGTCAACAACACCGCCCCCCAAAGACCCCCACCGGATCGAACAGAGGAGGAGGACGACGACTACGACTCAGATGACGCCAGTGAGACTGACTCCTCCTCTTAAACCACACAGCTGCTTTACAGAACTGTCTTTACCGGTCCCTGATGTTTACTTTTTCACTCGTTTCTATCTCTGTGAATAATATAAATTGGGCCTGAAGCTGTGAATGGAATTCCCAGAGGAGCGATGCAGAGTAACAAATCAATGTTTATCTGCTTCAGAGGGAAATTGTTTTTTCTAACAGATCAGATGTCTGTTTGACGTGTTCCTGCGTTTATTGATTCTTGCAGCCACTCTGGGATCTCTGGAGTTCAGTCTCCTGTACGACCAGGAGACCCACGCTCTGCACTGCTGTGTCGTTAAAGCTAAGGTAAAGACATGTACACGAGACGAGACGAGATGGGACAAAATGAGACAAAACTAAATGGAATAAGACAAAATTAGATTGGACTAGACGTAAGGAGACTGGACAAGACAAGATGGGAGAAAATGAGACAAAAACAAAATGAATAAGACAACTAATGACAAAGTACGTTAGGACAAGATGGGAATGTCACGACGAGCCAATGAAAGATGGAACAAGACAAGACGAGAAGATGGGACAAGACAAGAAAACACTTCACAAGAAATGACAAAAGAAGAAGAGACGAGACAAAACAAGACAGGATGGGAATGTCAAGACAAGCCAATGAAAGATGGAACAAGACAAGAGAAGACCAGACAAGAAATGACAGAAGAAGAAGAGACGAGACAAAACAAGACAGAATGGGAATGTCAAGACGAGCCAATGAAAGATGGAACAAGACAAGAGAAGACCAGACAAGAAATGACAAAAGAAGAAGAGACGAGACAAAACAAGACAGGATGGGAATGTCAAGACGAGCCAATGAAAGATGGAACAAGACAAGAGAAGACCAGACAAGAAATGACAAAAGAAGAAGAGACGAGATGTGAGATGAGACGAGACGAGAAAAGACAAGATAAGACAAGACAAATAAGATGGGACAAGACATTTGAAGACGTGAAATGACAAGAAAAAACGAGACAAGGAAAGATAAGACAAGACAAGGCAAGATAAGACGGGACAATAAAAGACAAGATGAGACGAGACAAAACAAAACAAGGTGTATCCAATAAGTGTAAATGAGATTTGGAGAAACGTTTGCATTCGAACAATAAAATATGTGGAATATATAAGAACGTCTAATGTGTGCAAACATTTAGGGAGACGCGTCCACGCTTTGAACACTTCATCTCACGCTGACTCTCACCATCATGTGTCTTGACGTCTCTCAGGGGTTAAAGCCGATGGACTCAAACGGACTTGCTGACCCGTATGTGAAGCTGCACCTCTTACCGGGAGCCAGTAAGGTACAATCACCATAATTAAAACGTCAAGTGTGCCGCCATACGTCTTCTTTTTAAAACTGTAATAATCATTTTTTTTAATTCATCTGCTCTCAGTCCAACAAGCTTCGCACCAAGACTCTTAAAACCACTCTGAACCCTGTGTGGAACGAGACTCTGGTCTACCACGGCATCACTGATGATGAAATGTCACGCAAAACTCTCCGGTAAGAACAACCTCAACCTTCCTCCAGCTGCAATGTTGGACCGGTTGCATGAAAGAGTTTCACGAGGCACACTTGTCTGTCTTCAGGCTCTCAGTGAGTGACGAGGACAAGTTTGGACACAATGAATTCATCGGAGAGACGCGAGTCGCTCTGAAGAAACTGAAGTTTAACCAGAAGAAGAACTTCAGTGTTTGTTTAGAGCGAGTGATCCCGGTGAGTCTGAGAACGACGCTGACACCTCCTATTGTTCATGAACGTACTGTGAAATACATCATATTTAAATTAAAGGCTCAGTTCTTTCAAAAACCTGACAAATTCAAACCCAAATTTTTCAGTCTTTATGCTAAGCTAATTAGCTGCCGACTGTAGCTTAATATTTACCGTACAGATATGAAGCAAGAAAGTGAATAATCACATGTTCTTGCCTCTTTGATCTAATGTGTACAGAGACTAAGTAAGTATCACAGTGCTCGTGATGATGATGATGATGCTGGTTTATTCTCCATACAGGTGAAGAAGGCTGTTGGGGGGTCGGCCCGTGGCATGGCTCTCTATGAGGAAGACGTAAGACCCTCTCATGGACTTTATTGGATATTGTTTGACTGTATTCAAAGACGTCAGCTTTAGTTTGTTTATATCAAAGGGAGAACAGATTAAAGGATAAGTCTGATTGTATTCTCAGACCAAAACAGACAACGGTGTGATACGTCTTCGTCCTCTGTGTCGTGGACATACTGTAGGGAGGCACCGATCAGACGTGATGGATCCACATTAAACTTCTTCATCAATATCATTAAAATATTCACCGTTTCCCCAACAAATGCACTGTTTCCTCCTGTTTTGTGTGATTAAAAGTACAGTGAGCAGTTGTTTTACTGAAGAAAAAATTAATATTAACGGCTCATCTTCTGTAGAACTAGAGACAGGAAGTACGAAAGTATTTAAGAGACTGACGAATGTATTGTTGGTTCTGGAGTTATATTCATACTGCATGATGATATAAATGTAGACCATTTTGTCCTTAAGCACGTACATTATCCTGCATTAGTAGATATTATGATAATCACTGTGTAATCCCTCCAGATATGTGCAGAGGGCAAAGGAGCATCCGGATCAGTGAAATTAAATACTGTTGCTTTGTGTGCATGTGTGCGATATGTTACGTGTATATTTATGTGTGTGTGTGTGTGTGTGTGCAGCTGAAGGAGGGTGAGGATTCAGAGGAGAGGGGTCGCATCCTGGTGTCGCTGACGTACAGCAGCCAGCAGGGTCGTCTGATCGTGGGCGTCGTCCGCTGCGCTCACCTGGCCGCCATGGACTCCAACGGATACTCCGACCCGTTTGTCAAAATGTACGCGCTGAATCCTCCAGATTATGGTTAACACAAAACAAAACAATTTTAGGGAAATGCACTTATTCGCTTTATTGCAAGATGGTCTGTTTAACTAAAGCCAGGAGAGGGTTAGCTTAGCTTAGCACAAACACTGGAAATAGGGGGAAACAGCTAGCCTGGCTCTGGAGGCATTTAAAAAAAACTTTGGACAGAGACAGGCTAGCTATTTCCCCCTGTTTCCAGTCTTTATGCTAAGCTAAGCTAGCCATCTCTTGGCTTTAGCTTCACGTGTAACGGACAAACTTGAGAATGGAATCAATCTTCTCATTTAACTCTCTGCAAGAAAGTTTGTAGAGACACTTCAGCACATTTCTGTTATTTTATTTTGAGTTTTCACAAGAAAGTTAGATTTAACTCAGTGGAACAAAGCTAAGTTACTTTGCAGACTAAGTGGCCTATGAACTTTGTAAAAAGGTTATTACCAAGTTAATAAGCATGTTTACCAAATTGTTGAACTATCAATATAAAATTTAAAAGTGTCAAATGTTACTTGTTTGTTTTTTAAAAATTTTTAAAAATACGTTATTTTATTTTTGTGCTGCAGATGTCTGAAACCAGATATGGGGAAGAAAGCTAAAAACAAGACACAGATAAAAAAGAAGACCCTCAATCCGGAGTTTAACGAGGTCAGCTCTTTCTCTACTTCACCGTCTTCTTCTCACCCGGATGTCAGTGTCACATTTCATGATTCGTTACTGTGTTTCAGGAGTTTGGTTATGAAATAAAGCACGGCGAGTTAGCCAAGAAAACCCTTGACATCTCAGTCTGGGACTACGACATGGGGAAATCCAATGATTTCATTGGTAAGTGTGTTATGTCATCGCATTTCCTCGTCCGTCCCTTCATCCAATGTGTCGTCTCTAGGGATGGAAATGTCTTCTGGTTGGTCGATCCACTGCTTCAGTCCAGACTGAAATAACTCAACAACTGTTTGATGGATTGCGATGCAATTTGGTACATATATTCATGGTGCCCAGAGGATGAATCCTAAGAACTTTGGTGATCCTAAGTTTTCTTCTTGCGCCACCATGAGGTTCACAATTGTGTGAAATGTCTTGCCATTAATTGACTTTGTATTATTGGTTTTTGACTAAACACCTGCAATAACTAATGACACTCCCATCAGCCTTGACTGTGTTTGGTGCTAATCAGAACATGTTAGCATAACGCGCTAAAAGACGGTGAACATGATAAACATTATACCTTCTAAATATAGCCATAGAAGCATTGTCATTGTGAGCATGTTAGCATGTTGACATCCTCACAGAGCTGCTAACGTGTACGTGGACTCTTCATCTTGTTAATGTATGAATGCTTACTTTCCTGTCTGCCTCCAGGAGGATGTCAGCTGGGCATCCAGGCTAAAGGAGAGTGTTTGAAGCACTGGTACGAATGCCTCAAGAACAAAGACAAGAAGATAGAGCGCTGGCATGTCCTGCTAAACGACAACACCGTCCAGTTTGAGGATTAAAGCGTCTCCCCTCCTCTCTTCTGTGTATTTTGTTTCTCTGTCATTCCCCCTTGTAGAATATTGTCTTCCCGTGACGGTAGACGGATATCATCCTCCTGCTTTTATGTAGTTTGTCCCCAAATTGCAATGTGCAGGCTTCATTTCCAACAGTTTTCAGGTGACCAACATGGATGTTGACCTCGGGGCTCATTTTAAATAAGCAGCGACTACTAAACTTAATCCATTTTTAATGTTATCATATCATAAACTGTATCATATAATAAGTTAACCGTACCTGACGTGCGGTAATGATTGAACAGAGTGGTTATGGAGACGATAGAAACCCTCGTTATCATCGTCATTAACACAGTATGTTGTAATGAGTTGTGCGTCCGCGCTCAGACCCAACACAGGGAATTCCCACTTTGTTTCTGTCCTCATGTCGATCTGTGTTCATGTGGGATCATGTCATGTGTCGTCAGCTGATCTTTGTGACCACCTTGTTCGACTGCTTGCATCGCCGAAACATACATTTAACTTGTGTTACTGTGCATCACACATTTGTTAAATATTAAGTGGGACATTTGCAGATGTTTGATGTGAACAAACTCACTTTTTTTTTTGTTGTTGATGTGAAATGCATTTATTTATTTATTTTGACAGATAACAGTTTGGTCTCATCATCACTGCATCACCTTCACCTGTGCATGTGTGAGCTCTCTTCTGAAGAAATGCTTCTGCATGACGTTTTATTATGAAGAACAAATTGGATTAAGTAACGTCAGTTCACTTCCAAAACAATCCATGAAATATTATGGTTGATTGGCGAATTTAAATGAGATCTGCACAAGTGTTTTCAGCTAAATAATCAACATTTAGCTCTCTGTATTCACA